ATAAATATAGTTTCTATGTTTAGACTTGAATAAAATACAAGTTGCAGCTATTATTATGTGGTCCATATCTACTGTGTTCGAGATAATTAAGTTCTGGTTCATCATCATGGTCGCCATTGATGCAATACCACAGTAAGTACTGGGTCCAAATTGATGGAGGTTAGGCATTTATCCATTGATTATAGATATATAAGATTCCTTGTCCCTTTTTTCATTAATTTATTTTGGTTTTCCTTCTTGGAAAGTGGATCGCTTGCTTGGAGACTAGCCCCATTCCTCTTTTTTCTCAATAATCACTACTTTCGAATAAGCAATAGAAGAAAACCCAAATGCATAAACTAGGCAAAATTGAGGACTATAAAGAAGAAATATGCCTAAACCATATTCAACAGGAACCCAAAATTAAGCTGTTTGAAATGTCAGTTTGGTCTCTAGTTGCAGTTTAATGAGTTCCATTCCAAATTATGTAGTTAATGAGTTAGATGATGTCTAGTTTATATCATTCGCTTCTATCGCTCCGACATTTTGTTTCAATTGAATATTATAAATATTCATATGTTCTTGTTCCTTGTGAAGCAAAGTAATCTACAGTTCTCTTTCATTCCTTACATAAGTTCGATGATTAGGTAAAGTGAAGAGAATTTGTGACCTTAAGAAAAAAAATGGCATTGATCACTCAAGGAGTACATATGTAATCACTCCATTAGGGGGTCAAAATTAGCCTTGTATCTGCTGTTTAATCAACCACCACCATTACTTACATCCATAGGTGAGCTGGGATTAACTCTATGATCTTATGGTTGTAATCAGAAATTTAACCATCAGCGCTATGGGCTAGATTCCGGCATCCCTCATTTTATCTCTCTGATGGAATCATATTTTCTTCCTTAAAAATCAGTTAAAATAACCAAGAAGGAATTTGGTGTAAGAGATGAATCGATCACAAGAGCAATTCTTGCTTATTATGAGTAGATCTATTAACAATGTTATATAGAGATTACAACCCAATCAATGGGCAATACAGTTGTAGCAGAAGATAGAAATAGAATTACAGATGAAACTCTATCTAAAGCATATATACAACTGGGGAGAATATCTCTTCTCCTATATACGTATCACTAATATCCCCTCTCAAACTAGTGGCAGGCAGAACATTGATTTGGATCTAAAATTTCGAAATTTCATACTTGGGAGGCCCTTGGTGAAAATGTCAGCGGTCTGATCAGGGTAGGCACAACACCAAACTACGTAATTATGCTATGCTTTTTGTGTGTTTTTTCTCTTTATTGGTTTGATTTTTTACATAATGCTTTAGCGACCGAGAGTGTGCTATCATATCTAGAAGGCGATCCGTCACTGGAACTATAGATACGGCCTTTTGTTTTTGGGAAATAGTTAACGGACCCATGGATGTCATTTGCAAACCTAAGGCATCTACCTACATAATGCTTTAGCGACCAAGAGTGAGCTATCATATCTGGAAGGCGATCTGCGTCATTGGAACTATAGATACGGCCTTTTGTTTTTGGGAAATAGTTAACTGACCCATGGATGTCATTTGCAAACCTAAGGCATCTACCTACATAATGCTTTAGCGACCAAGAGTGAGCTATCATATCTGGAAGGCGATCTGCGTCATTGGAACTATAGATACGGCCTTTTTTTTTGGGAAATAGTTAACGGACCCATGGATGCATGGATGCCATTTGCAAACCTAAGGCATCGCCTTAGGTTTGCAAATGGCATCCATGGGTCCGCCTATCACTACTCTTTTTTTTTCATAAATCTGACATGAAATTTCACAAAAAGATGTGTAGACATTTTTTTTTGGAAGTTGAAAAAAAAAGTGTAGACTTTCATTTATAACATTAATAATTGGGATGAGAATGAGATGCATCATTATTTATACAATCGAATTGTTCGTAGATCAAGTGAGACCATTGATAGTTGAGCTATAATACCGAAAGATAATCCATTTTGATTATGGTAAGATCATTGAGCCTTACATGATGTGAATTATTAGTTGAAGCCGGAATTCTCGTCAATTCTCATTATGCTAACAATGAACTAAAGATCATACTCATTTGGTGCAGAACTCATCCTTGGCACAATGGGAAAATATGTTATCCTTTATAAATGTAACATAATCTAGCTAGTCCTGTAGGCGACTTTGAAATCTCGAGCTATTCTTTGTTTCCATATTCGTATAATTCCAATGGTTTTTACTTTAGGGACATATGTACACCAGATTTTCTGATGAATTCTATAGCGCGCACACTTTTTGTTACGTTGGAAACTTTTTGACTTGGCAATCATAATTTGAGGCACAAGGACTTTGTTCTTCTCGTTCAAAATCTTCTCTGGTTCAAAATTAAATATGGTGTTCATCCAAAAATAAATAAAATATTAGAGCATTTTTAATTCACAATCCTAGGATCATATCTAAAGATAGAAGTTGTCCTAGTACACCAAGTTTTGGAATCTCAGAAATGGTTCTTATTGGATTTCTAGTAGTCGGATTCTTAAGATTGGGTCTAGGAATTTTCTGAAGGGATGGAATATTGGTAACTAAGTCCTCTTAGAAAGCGAAGAACGAAAGTAGAATTGGAGAACTTTCAGCTTATGTGCCATTTAAATCAAGTAAACCTTATGTAAATAGGTATACTTTTAGACTGCATTGAGGTACTTATCGAGTCTGGAGAGGAGGTTCTCAATCTCCTTGTGTCATTGATCACATCTTCTCCGAAACCTTTGGTTAAAGAGCTCATGAGTAGGGGTGTAATAGGCCAGGCTTAGACTTGTATTTTCTATTTTTGAATAGCCAGGCCTGACCCGAGCCCGCCCACAAGAGATTTTTATGGGCCAAATTCAGCCCGTTGACACCCCCCCAAACCATGAGCAGAGATAGAGATAGAGATAGAGATAGAGATAGAGATAGATAGAGATAGATCTTCTTATCTTTCCAACATGGTTTTCCAAAGTTTGTTTCAAGCTTTGTTTTCCTATAATTTTTAACAGTATAAATATAAATATGAGGCAGAGCTTTGTGTCACGGTATGTGAGCGGATATCCCCTTTTTTATTTGTAAAATGTGGCAGTATTGTAATTATTGAGAGAGGTAGGGGCAATATTATCACCAACTTTGCACTAAAAAGGGAGCTCCCCTCACACGCCATGAAGAAGAGTGCCTCTGATTTAAACTCAATTTTTAAAGTGTTAGAACTCCATCCTATTTTATAAGGTATCCTCAGACCACTCAATGATAGGTTTTTTCATAAGAAAGTATAAACAAGAGTGGAGGAAACACAATATTTTTTTAGAAATTTCTATTATCAAAGTAGAAGGTAGGAAATGTTAGTATAGTGTTCACCCATCCATAGTCATTTATTTTAGGATAATGCTAGCATCACTTTCTTTGAAAACCCACTCTCTTTTTGATCAGAGAGAGTGTCAGTAGACACGTGTCCTTTTAATGGAAGCCAATAACACGTCTTTTCCGTAAAGAAAGTGATACTCATTACCTTTTTTTTTTTAATTATCTAAAAAGGGTAAGAGTACGGAAACGCAAACATGCTTAGCATATATTAAATAATCTCTACTGCATGCATTAAATACATCTTAAATTTCTAATAAAAAGAAATAGTGCAGTCTACCATACACCAATTAACGGAACCCCTTACCAATCCCAAGAAAGACAATGGGCTAGATGATCAGAAGTAGCGTACTACCATGTCGGAGACCATGGATCGAGTCCTGTGATTTAAGGGGAGTGGTTGATATGCTCACCCGTAATTAATGAAGCAGTAGTACATAAGTCTAACCAAGCTAACCAGGGTTGCGACCTAGTCATATTACAATATATATCCTCCCCCCACCCAAACCAAAAATAAATAAAAAAACTACCAATCCACACAATCTATAGACAGACCCTTCTTTTCCGACTTAGAATCCTCTACCATTATAACCGGACTCCTTGGAGCCTGGTTACAACACAAAAGCCTTTTAAAGTATTTTTTTTAAAGATTCTATAGTTAGCTTTAATCTTTAGAGTTAATAGTTAAAAAAAATTAAGGTTAGATAGTGGAACCCTTTTCTTTGTCAACTTTGTTTTTTACTCTATCCGGGTTGGCAACACTAGCTCTCTTCTATTGCCAAATAATAATAAAAGGAGAATGCTAGGGGACTATTCGGTGTGCGAACTCACCACTAGTATGGAAAAAATGCAGATGAAAATGACAGCATACCTGTGGGCGCGCTCCACTTCTATTTTATTTATATACAAGCATTAAGTCCGCCCGCCAGACCTAGGGTTGTAAACAAGCCTGAGTCAAGCCGAGCTTGGTACCGTTCAAACTTGGCTCGTATATGATTTAGGTTTGCTCGAACTCGATTTGAATTTTGAAAGGCTAGCTCGAGCTCGGCTCATCCATAAGAGATTGAGCTGGACCCATTTAAACTCGATTAGCTAATGAACCAAGCCAAACAATTCCTTGTTTTGCCTGAAAAATGGTGGAGATTTCGTTCATAAGAATGTGGAGATATTGATGAATATCTATTGATATTGATGAGGTAGGGTTTGTGAAATTTTGGTTATTTATACGGTTTTTGAGTGGTATTTGTGCAGATTTGAGTAAGATTGATAAAGTATCTAAGGAGTTTTTATCTTGAAGTAAATGATAATCATGGAGCGAGATATTATGACTTTAGTTCAGCTTTGGCTGATCTTATTAGTTGTAGCAACCTTAGGATATAAATACCTTCCCCCCCAAAAAAACCTATAGGATATATCCTATATATAAACCAATATTTTCTACCTTCTAGGGGCAGACTTTCTGGTAAAACTTTTCTGTGATTCCCTCTGCTGAACAAGGCAATCTAGGTTGATACTTGATTTTTTTGGGGGGTAAGGGAGGGTGTCCCAAACCCGTCTAGGCAAGGACTAGTTCTTTCGGGTGTCCGTTCCGACCTACTTATAATTTTCCCTATAGACACTAGGGTAAGTCGAAGAGTGAGAGTTGAACACACAACCACAGGGAGCAAAACCCTGAATGCTAGCCAACGACACCAACCCTGATAGGTTGATACTTAAGATGTTCATGATGAACTAGCGATATAACCTGCACACTTGCACAAATGGGTTAAAAAAGGTTTGGCAAGACTCAAGAACCATTAAAACAAAAAGAGTCAAGAGAAGAGAACGAAGAAAAGAGACAAAGGAATGTAGGGTTTAAGGTTTTCTTTAAAAAAGACATGAATGACAATTTTAGTTCTAACTTAATATAAATCCTTTTTAATGTATATTGTATTTTATATGTAGGTATTATAAAAGTATTAGTATGTATTAACATACCGGAGTATAAATATTAACATAATCGAGCCGATTTATGGATTGCTCAAGTTCGATTAAATGAACTCAATTTTATAGCTCGGCTTGACTTAGTGAACAAATGTTTGACTGCTACCATATTTACATTGAAAATGAGTTCAGATTTTTTTTTCTAGAACTCCGCATCACACTAACACTCTTATACTAGAATGTTTCATGTGTCACTTTTTTTTAAAAACTGAAATAAAAGATTATAACTAGGAGAATAAATACAGCTTAACTTTTATTGTACTTCTTTTCTCTCTTATTTAATGAATTGTCTCTTATACAAATATCATTTTATTTAATAGAATAATATTGAATACATGAGAGTAAAAAAGTTTAATGAAGATTAACAAATTCATACATTGAGTGAAGGATAAAAGTATTAGTATGTATTAACATACCGGAGTATAAATATTAACATAATCGAGCCGATTTACATATTGCTCAAGTTCAATTAAAGGAACTCAATTTTATAGCTTGGCTTGACTTAGAGAACAAATGTTTGACCGCTACCATATTTACATTGAAAATGAGTTCAGATTTTTTTTTTCTAAAATTATGCATCACACTAACACTTGAGAAATTATACTAGAATGCTTCAGGTGTCGTTTATTTTTTTGTTAACTGAAATAAAAGATTATAACTAGGAGAATAAATACAGCTTAACTTTTATTGTACTTCTTTTTTCTCTTACTTAATGAATTGTCTCTTATACAAATATCAATTTATTTAATAGAATAATATTGAATACATAAGGGTAAAAAATTTAATGAAGATTAACAAATTCATACACTGAGTGAAGGATAGCATTCCCCCCCACCCCAACCCCAACATATATATATATATACGCACACACACATGCACTATAAATCTATACTAATATATATATAAAAGATTTTTCTCTTTGATCTCCAAACTCTCATATTTAAAATTCTATAAGTGTTGATGTGACACCTCTAAAAATGAGTGATTTTAAGGAATTGTGCAGGATAGAGAGATAAAAAGAAAGAATGTAGAGACGTATTGATCAATTGATCCATTGAATGAGCTTGAAGGGATTTTGATAAGAGAAATAAAGAGAATGTAAAGATTTATTTATTTTTTCATTCACACCCGTGCATCAACTCTCTATTAGTGTGTGTATATATATATATATCATTCTATTAATAAAAGTACAATGAGTATGCAAAACTTTATGTGGATGTAATTACCATTCTCCTTACTTTATAAAAAAATAAATTAAATTATAAGGTATACTATTATGTGGGACCTATGAGATTTATATTTAATATAAAGATGAGTTTAACTAGGGATCAAGTACAAGGAACAACGGTTTTGATTAGAATTTTGTAAATGGATCGTCAGGCCATGGGGAAGAAAAAGAGTTTATATTGGAGCTTTAGATCTTCCATGGTCTGATCTCAAGGATGTTGGTGACGGTGGTATTCTTGTTACTGATGAAGATCATGATCTTATTAATGGTTTTCATGCTCTGGCATACCAATCTCCTATCCCCACAAAAGATAACATGCTACAGAAGCTCTATGAAGAATATCTACAACTCCTTAAGACCGAAGAGGTTCAAGCTTGGTTAGATTCATCTGCCAATCTTTATTTATGTGATGCTAAGAGAAGAAAAACTTTGGACATCATCAAAGTGTTACTTCAAATGGTTAGGCTTTTTGTAAAAATCATGTGAGTCAGTGGAGTTTGCTTAGATTTCATGGGCTCATCTTCCTCACACCCTTACATGTTTGACATTATGACTTTAAATAAATTGCAATATAAATTAGTCTTAATATGAGTCGGCTTAAAGCGGAGCTCCCCATCTCTATTTGATGGCAGTTCTGTAATTATGATAGAACAAAACTACCACTGTCTTTTCTCATTATTATAGAACTGTCACTGAACATTGCATTGAAATGGGGGAACCCCGCTTCATGCGTTGAAGCTATTAAGTGATAAGTGTTTTATATTAGAGATTAACTATGAACGAGTGCTTCGGTTGAACAATCAATCGGAGCAACCCAAAATTTACCTTGGGAAGTGGTAGTATAGTAATTATGAACACAAAAAAGGGTATTTCTTAACAATAAAATTTGGGTTGATCAATGGGAGCTCTTCCTGTTCATAGTTATTCTCTTTATATTAACTAGTGGGCGGCACGTGCGATGCACGTGAGAGAGAAGGGAATGAGAGAGAGATTGGGAAGAGGGTCTCTAGTGAGAGAATTTTAATGTTTTTTGTTTCTCTTGAAACATAGTTACAACTTAAAGATGGTGTGCCTCTTCTTTGAGAGACAAAGGAGGGAACATGAAAGAAGATAAGGATAAGGATTTGAAGAAATCGTAGAGATATTGAGGAATTATTGTTAGTTGTAGTTAATATTACTTTAATACTCCTACTAACTTTTCTTATGTAAAATAAGATAATATGATATTTTAATTTTTTTTTGATATAGAGTTATGGGCAAAATAATAAAAATATAAAAAAATCATCCTTATTATCTGTAAGATACCATAAAATTAGGACTCATTAGGAATATTAGGAAAAAAGTCAACCAACTTTTTAACCGCATTTCTCTCATTATAATAATAGAGATAAGGACTTAATTAGAGAAAATCATTATAAAAAAATTTATTATTATTATTGGTAATTTTTTGGAAGTGTAAACTTTCTCATAAATTTCTCAACCCTCATGTGTACTTAGCCCATTCTTCCCCCTCCCTTTCGTTGTATGAGAGTTGCTAATTAAACTTCCTCTTGTACATGGGTTGAAGATATCAAATTTTAAAAACAAGAAAGCAAAGAAAATCTTTTCATGATTCTAGCAATATTTATAAATGACTTCTTGGCACAAAAAATGAGACATCACACCCTTTAAACGATTTATTGAGAATATCCTCTAATATGCGTCATTAATGATTGACTATTATTTGTATTTCCATAATTATATTAAAAAAATTAATACGTGTTTTCACCATTACTAAGTATATATACAATATAGAATAATTTTATTTATTTATTGTTAACTGTGTGTGTGAGATAGCTATAAAAAAAAAAGGAAGGGGGGAGGGGGGGGGGGGGGGAAGAAAGAATGAGTGACCTCCTAATGCGTTCCACGTCTTATGATAACGTTCTTTAATCAGTATTTACGCAAATGAAAAGAAAACCTTAAAACAGTCGCTCTGAAAAAAAAAAAACCCTAAAACAATTGCATATACTTACTTCCATTATTCAAAATCTAGTCATCGAGAGTCGACAAAGAGATCAGCTCTCCACCTGAAATCAACGGAAGTTGGACTCTGCTACGCGCTGCCAATTACGACTCTCGCCTCCTTTTCCAAAGCCACCTCTATACTCCCACCTCCATTACTCTTACTTCCATCTCCATTATTTTCTGAAATCTTCTTCTTCTCTCTCTCTCTACGAAGAGAATTACGACTTACGGGGTGCTCAAAACCCTAAAACGAATCTCCGTGTTTTGTTTCGAATCGGTATAATCCGTGGTTTGGGCGTGTCAGAGGATCTCCTGAATCTGCCATTCCAGATGTCTTCGTTGAGGAGCTATGGTGTTTTCTTTAGAGATGCAACCTTCCAGCTGCCCCGTTCCGCTGGCTCTGCTACCTTTCAGCTACCCTGTCATGCTGCCGCCAATAACAAGTGGTTACTCTGATCTGATTCTTTGTTGTTTCCCTTTTCTTTTTTCTCGATATCATGATTTGTTGGTGTTCTTTTATTTATTACTTTGAATTTGAAGAACAATGTCTGGAAAGGTTTGTTTTTTTTTCGAAATGTACAGACTATAAAGTTTTTTTCTTAATCACGTAGAGATTCTTAGATATTCAGATTTCAGATTCACTTTTGTCTTTCAGGCTGAATTTCATGTTTTTTTTTTCATCATCTGTCTTTTTGTCTCGATTGATTGAGTACCAGGACACAATAGCATATTTTCCTAGTTTTTGATTGTAGGAAATTTAGATGGGTACAGGAAAATGTTGTTGTGAAACCTTGTTATTTCTTCTTCTAGGACCATTGCCAAGTTTCGGTCCATAACAATGGGTTTGGTGGTTGGTGTATCACCACTGGGAAAATCCCTTTATTAATTGAAGGGGTTGGGTAGTTTGTATAGCATCAGCTAGGGATTGAAGGAAGGTGGATCTGCTTCTGGCTTCCGGAGGCCATGATTGTTGACAGTGGGTTGAATTACACAATGTGGATGGACCTTGCTGTTCTAGATGCAAATGGTAAAATTTTTAGCTTACCCGGAATTTATCCAGAAACATCCCCAAGTGATTCGGTTTGGTTATTAAATTTCGACTTTACTGATAAAATGGACTAGGTCCTATGAAACTTGGTATATAGAAAGAAAGATGTTCATTTTTTTAAAATGAGTTGGTTACATGACTAGATTAAGGGATGCTGCACTTATGGATCTTTGTTTTTAACAAGTTTTGCTAAGAAAGGGGTGTTTGATATCATCATATCATACATTCATACTTCATGCATGCTTTTCACTCTTTAAGAGTCAAATATACATAGAAGGGGACCTTTGTGTCAGGGGGACAGAATTCATTTGGTTTGGTTTGTAAAATATATTGAGATATTTTCTTCACATCCTTTTTCTCTATTCTAACATCTAGGTTGAAATGTACAAGAGATCTTTTTTTTTTTTTAATTTAAAAATATTTAGATGGGGTAAG